CAAAATTTTTTTTTTTTGTAAAACGGTAACTGAGGTAAACCATGTTTTTGTTTTGTTTCATCGTAATTTATTATAACATATATTTGTATAACATATAAATTTTAGTTTTTGTATGATCATATATTTTATAATTTTTTTATATTAACAGAGTTAAAAGAAGAAACTGAAGAGCTAAGTAAATGCCTGTCAGTTGACATAACAATACTGGACTTCAAAGAAGACATGATGCTTGTAGAATACAAAAGAGAACTGGAGGAACAGATTGCAGGGTGAGGATTATATTAATTTACCAGTTTGATATTATATGAAGCTTGTTTTGCAATTAAACAATTGTTAGACAATATCACATACAATAAAAGATCTTGCGTTACATGAATCTGACACAAGAAACCCAATCAATACCTAAAATATTTTTCATAACTCATACTAAATTTACTTTATTTTGCTATTATGTTAAGTCAACTTATGCCCGTTTTCACTATAATTAGGAGTCACCCAAAATCCGTTAATTAAATATTGGCTAATGTAAAATGCATTTCACCATTGGTTATGAACCACCTAACGAAATTAAGCAACATCTTAAAGCTTTGATATTCCTTATGCAACGCATTGCGTTAGGCATTTGGGTATATGACAGGTCATAAATAATAATAATAACAATAAAATCATTTATTCATCTCAGATATCCTTACATGATTAATAAAGTTTTAAATCTAAGGTAATAGAAAATGAGACAAAACGGTTTATGAGTCAGTGACGGTGAGTGTACCCACAGCCTCTGTTATTCTATAACTAAATATGACAAGGGATAAAAGGAAAAACATTTATTTGAAATTAAACTAATCTGCTTAGGTGACTCTAATATTAGGCCTTTCCTAGTTCAGCTATGCCTCGCTCTAGGTTAGTGGAAATGGGTGTTAGCCTTAAGCTGCTAAGATAGCTCTATTCATATTCCATTGTGTTCAAACTCCTTTTTTGAAGTTGTTTCTTGAAGTACTTTCTTGAAGAGCTATAAATCATAAACTTTATGATAATCTATCTTGAAACACTAACAAAAATATCATTGTGTAACATGATGTCTTAGTAATGAATATGTCTTTTTATAAAATAACAGGTACAGGGAGCAAATGGAGCAGCGTCGCATGAAAATGGACCGTCTGCTCGAATGGCAAAGGGATCTTGCTGAGAAGCTTGGTGTCACCATCCACGAGTTACAGGAGGTTCCGCTGCCCTCAGAGGAGGAGCTGGATCGGCTAAAGGAACACCTTGACGTCTTACAAACAGAGAGGGACAAAAGAGCAGAAATATTTTTACATACTCAAGTAGAGATCAAGGATATTATGGGTAAGTTTTCTTACATTATCTTTGTGCCATATAACACATTGATATATAATTTTCAATCAGCTGAATATCAGGCTCAACAAATTTTTCGGCAAATGATTTTTAATCCAACTATCAAAGAATTTAGTTTTAAATTTAGATGAAAGATAACAGAAATTTGATTGATATTTTATTATGAAGTAAATATGTGTGTAATTGTTTTGTGTGTAGATAAACTGCAGATCAAACCACAGAACAAGTTTGAACATATTGTGGTGACATCTCTGTCTGTGGACTTCAAGGTGACAGACCTGAACATGGACCGCCTCGCCAAGCTTCAGCAGGATTTGCAAGAGAAATATGAACAGACCAATAACAGGGTAAATTACAATTTGATAATAACTAAAATATTAGGTTGGGGAAAAGTCTAATCCATGATCCTTATGTATGAAATTGGTGTTTGGTATAGGAGGAACAAAAGAATATTTTTTTAATATAATGAATTTATTTAATCAAAGTATAAACCATTGTTATCTATGCACTTTTGCCAGCTCAAAGGTAGTTCATTGAACCTGTACTAAAAAAAAACCCTTCGATCAAATCAAATTCGATTCATATCGATAAAATCTTTGAAGGAGATTTGCACTGCCCCATCAGAGTTGAATTTTTTCCCTTGTAAGAAGTTATCCAAATTTCGAAAAAAATGGTAATCTGTTGGAGCAAGGTCTGGGGAGTATGGTGGATGTCTTAGACATTTCAATTGAAGCTCTTCAAATTTGGTACCTATCCGTCTGTTGTGCAGTGTGTGGTCTAGCGTTGTCGTGAAGTAGCAGTGGCGTAGAGCGATTTTCCAGCCTCATTGTTTTACAGCTAGTTTCATGGTTTGCAATTGATAACAATAGACATCTGCCAGCACTAACCCACCAAACGCTTACAATTAACTTTTTTGTGGTCAATTTTCGCTTGGGGCAGGATTTGGCTGGCATGCCAGAATATAATAGAATAGATAGATATAATTAGAATAGAATAGAGTGTCCAACCATTGCGATGAGCGTTTCCGATTATCGTAAAGAATCCACTATTCATCACAGGTAATTATTCGATTTAAAAACTTCATAATTGTTCTGGTTAACTAATGTAACGCAGCAGTCAAAGCGCGTTTGCCGGTTTGCTTCACTCAATTCGTGAGGTACCCACCTTTCAAGCTTTTTAATCTTTCCAATTTGCTTTTTATCAAACTCGGACGTGGTTTGCGATAGATCCACTTCCACAATAGCCTTCAATTCTTCATTATTAACTTTGGTCTCTGGCCGTCCACAGAGCTTGTTCTGCTGGTCGAAATTTCCAGAACGAAAACGTTGGAACCAAAAACCACTGTGTTTTCTTTTGAGACACAACCGCCATATCCATCATTAACCCTTCGAGCCGTTTCCGCAAAAATGCAAAGAAAGTTTGCAAAAAAGCTGCTGAGGCATGGGCCTTCTCTATAGACGTTAACAAAAGCTAATGCAGCTGGGATCACCCAAATCAATTTCTCTCTTTTGCTGTAACTTCTGTCTCATAATTTTGGGAGCAATTTATAACATACATTTATTCTTAAACTAGCATTCCGTCAGCGGCTTCGCCCGCTTGGTCTTATATTATACATAAAAACCTTCCTTTTGAATCACCCTATCTATGAAAAAAAACAGCATCAAAATCCTTTGCGTAGTTTAAAAGATTTAAGTATACGTGTGGATATAGGGCCAGAGAAAACTTCTTTCTTTTATACTATGTAGATATAAAATCTTAGGAGCTTGTGGGTCAGTGCCGATTAATACAACTAGATGCCTTAAGTAATCCTTATTTGTGCACCCAGAACTAATATTGATGTAAAAAAATACATATGTAATATAACTAGAAATCTATCTAGTTATATTAAATATGTATTTCATTATGTAGGTACTTGAGAATATCTATGAAGATCAAAATAGATAGATACATGAAGTAAAAGCTCAGCCTCTAAATGTATTTCCTCTAATGCAATACCTTTATTTCTTTATTAGGTGTTGGAACTACGTGAAAAACTCACGAAGCTATGGGATTGCTTGGATGAGGACCGTGTATACTGTGATAACTTCCTCCATGCTCATCCTGGATGCCATCCACACACCGAGGCTGCTATCAAAGAAGAGATCAAGAGATGTGAACAGATCAAACGGCAAAAGATACAGGTACTTTTATATTATTATATTCGAGACAATAGAGATAGAATATTTATATGCAAGCTTAGCTTATATGTCCGCTCCGCCACGCGGATTGGATTTTTATATTAAGTATGGGACAGGGAGCGCCAATAGAGCGAAATGTAAGGAACCCCCAACCCATATATTGGGGTTATGCAATGTGGATTGCTTTTGTTTTGTAACACAATTCTTATTATTAATTTAATATTTTAATAATTTCCCTGACTACTCTTTCATTTTGAATCTCTGTTGGAAAAACTATATAAATATATGACCAATAATGTCATAATAAAGCGAATCGTAAGCATTGCAGAAGAGCTATAGTCTTCATTTGAAAACAATTTTTATTTTTATTTACTTTCAAAGACATTCAATGATCTATTTTTACTCTTTTAAGTTTTATGCTAGTTATCATCACCATCCTATTTAGGGGCATAGGCCACCCCAACAGTAAGACATAAATAGGATGGTTCCATATGGATGGAGACCGACAGGCCTAGGTGGGTGATAATGACTGCAGATGCAGTCGGGTCCAATAGCTTACGTATCCCCCGAAACGCGGAGGAACTCGATACAATACATTTTTGGTCACCCATCCTATGACTGACCTTTGCGAAAGTCGTTCAACCTCGTAGACTGCGCCATCTAAGTCCCCATGACAGTGAGTGCTGATAAATATATGTTTTTATTTGTTTAGGTATTTGTGGCGAACATTCGTACTAAGATCAAGCTGATGTGGGATAACGTGATGTACTCGAGCCAGGAAAGAGAGGAGTTTGTCCACTATTATCAGGATATATTCACCGAGGACACGCTAACACTACACGAACTGTATTTAGAAAAGATCACCAAGTTCTATAATGAGAACAGGTTAGTAGGCAAGGCACCTTAGAAAAAGTACTTGAATAAATTTGTTGATACAGATACCAGATTCAGAATTAGAGACATAAATATTATTTTTTTCTATATATTGATATGGTAATGTGAAAGTAAGATTAAACTAGACTAGAACTTTTGGAAAAAATAGTAGTTGTTGAGTTTATTAAAAATACTATAGTAAAGTTGTAAGTTGTTACGAGTTCATCTATAACAGTGCTATTAAAAAAAAAGGTTTAGCGTCAGAGTACATAAATTTACGCTAATAATGCAGAATATTATGCAGAGAATAATTATCTACTACCTCCTAGGAGTAAATATTACACCCGTAGAACCTCGTACTACATTAATAATTGTTAAGTCTCTTTTTAATGATCTCAATTTTGACTAATACAAAGGGCAATCTTAGCGTAAATTTACCCCACCGCTAAAACCTTGTTTATTAATAACACTGTAGATATATTCTAAAATGCCGAAACAAAAATGTTTTTTTCCAATCAAAAGAAGATATGGATTACTATAAGTATTTTGATAACTTTCATTCACAAAGCTATATTGATAAACATCTTAATGAAAAATGCTTAATAAAGTCACCATTCTAAGACACCTCAAGATGGGACTCGAAGTCGGAACCTTTAGCATTTTAGGCGAATGCTTTAACCATTGAGTTACTCGATACTCAACAGGATTGACGAATTTCTCAAGCAGTTATTACTTTTGCTAATAGTGAGCGTATTTTCATATTGTTTAGGCTTAATATTTTAAATTTTCTATAAGATGAAAATTTGTTGTAATTTGATGAATTTTGCATCGATAATGCTTAATTGATAAATATCTTTTTAAAGTAAAATTGATCAAATAAACTGCTTGAGATATTCGACAGTCCTGTTGAGTTTGGAGTAGCTGAATGGTTAGAGCAATCGCCTTGGATTGCGAAAGGTTGTGGAGTGCCTGGGATTGTCGTTTTTAATGCATAATACATATTAAAAAGTAGATCTTAAATTTTCTAATAAGCTAGTGGTATAGTGTCCAGTGTAAATATATTGAGTGATATTTCAGGCATATATTCGAGTTGGTAGTGACGCGCAAGAATCTCTGGCTGAAGATGAACGAATTGGAAGCGCGCGCGTCTGAACCAGGGCGTTATCACAACCGCGGCGGGCAACTGTTGCGTGAGGAACGAGAACGAAAAGCCATCGCTAGTAATGTGAGTCATTAGACTAGATAATATATAGATATAGTTTGTACGTATAAACATGACACCTGAGAGCTTACTTTCATAGTGTAATGTTGTTGTGGAGAAATGTTGCCGACATACAAACTATTTTTATGCTTCAGAAAAGAGCTATTAGATCAATTTATAATCATAGAATTAGGGACTCCTTAACGGATTTTTTTTTAAATTGACTTGTGACTGTTGCTTCTTAATACATAAATGAGAATTTAATGTACGTCCGTAAAAATATTAGTTTGTCTATCTATATTGTCACGCCTTTTCCCGGCAGGGTAGGCAGAGACCACGTCTTTCCATTCTACACAATGTATAATAGTCACCTTAGAGAAATTTCCGAATTTTGTGGTAGATAAAAATAACCATTTTACGAAATAGTTATAAATACAAAAGCAATCAAGTTAGTATTCTTAGTATGTTTTCCACCGTAAAGAGTGATTATGTTATTTCTAGAATAATAATAATGAGCGTAATTGGGTTTTAAATGTTTATAAAGTGTATCCTTACCAAAACATACATAAAATATCGAAAGATAGCAGTTAGTGTTCAACGACTTTACCCAATAGCTTTCAAAGGTATTTGTTTTAACATGAAAAAGTTGTAGCGTGAAGTTCGCGAATGTCTTTCAAATGACAAATTCATGGTTATTTGTGAAACATTTTTTAAGACAATTAGGCTACTGATCAGTACACCCATTCCTTTCTAAATCCTGCTTACACATCCTATAATCTATATCCTCTCATACGTCCTTTTCCTGACTCATTCAACCAATGTTTTTGCAAATAATTTGCCGACGACACAGTAGGCCGATACCGCGGTAGTTCTTGCAGTTCTAGAAAACGGCTTTACACCAGTCATTTGGGACTTTGACGTTCCTCCAAGACAAATTAAAAAGGCGGTACAACTTGTTAGCTATTGTTCCTTCTCCAGCCTTGAGCATCTCAGCAGACACCCTATAATGTCCTGCAGCCTTACCCGACATGATTCTTTTCATTGCATTCACAATTTCATCCATTATAATCTCATTTTGAATGCTATTTTCATTTTCGCCTTTTAAATCCGTCGGTACGTCTTCGTTTCCTTTCTCAGATAAACTTTCAAAGTATTCCTTCCATCTTTTCAACACACACATGCTTCATCTTTAAAATACTTCCATCTTGGCTTCTGACTTTCCTCAGCTCCAAAGTTGTATTCTTACCATAAGCTGTTTTAATGGCCTTCCGGAAAAAACTTTCTGGTTCGTCCGAAAATCAACACAACACGCAACAACAGAAAGCTTCCTGTCAAACTCATCTTCCATTTTCTATTTCTTTCTTTACCGGTTCTTTCAATTTCTTAGAAGTCATTCGTGCATTTTCTACATCTTACCCGTTGCCACATGCATTCTTTGATTAGCTTTTGTTGCTCACCAATTCAACCACGCTTCACACACATCACTGCTTTTTTGACGTCCCTATCCATCCACGCGCCTTCTTTTAACTATCACATAGTTCAGTCGCCGCTCTCACAATTCTTTCTTTACATTCTTCTTCTATATCATTTATCTCTCTTATCTTCGTGTTTTCAAATTCTTTCTTTAATTTTCTTACATATTTCTCTTTCACATGTTGCTTTTGCAGGCCTTCCACTTTTACTTGTTTAGAACACCAGTGGATTCGGGCACCCTGTCAGTGCAGTGCACTCAGTTACGCAAATACCAGGTAGTGGTCTGGTCAAAACTAACACCACGATATATTTTTGTGTCTAAAATATTATTTTTTTTTAACCTCTCATCCTTTACCACGAAGTCGCTCAATTTCTCGAAACACTTTCCTCTTTAGAACAAATCTTCTTATGTTAAAACATAGTTTGCTTGCAGTTTTTTTGGAATGGCATATTAGTGTAACAAACATTACAGTAATATGCCCATTTCCCATTCTCATTAACTCTTAAATTTGTAAAAGCATCCAGTATTATTTCAAAACAGTATTATTTCATCTTTTTTAACATCTACCCATCCATTAGTCTCCTAGCAAAACAATATTTTCATTGGCCACACATTTACTTAGGATATCTCTCACACTATCCCAGAACTCTTGTATTTCTTGCTTAGCTTTCGCAGAATCACCCGTAACCAAAACGCCAGACCAATATGCCATATAGGAGTCATGTAGAGCAGTATCGTGCCCCTATCCGCTTTGTCTCATTTACACAAAGTAGATCAATCTTTCTCCCATACATCATCTGGCATACTTCATCGGTTTTATTTTACGAGTCAAAAGTACTTTTAAGTTTATTTGAATAACGATTATTTTGACTTTGAACTTATTATATGTGCCTTTTAAGGAAAATTCATATAATTTCAAAGTGTTCTTATAATTGCATTAAAATCATATCTGTGAAGATTATCCGTTCATTAAAACCAATATCAGGTCTCACCTCTGTTGCATCATTAATTGTCTAAAAGAGGATTCATTGAAGTCATAGATATTAGCATTTCGAAAATAGACAAAATTCTGTTTTCACAGAAATAGAACAGATCTTTCTGTGTCATATTATATAGTATGAGTAAGTATTTAGGCAATTCAAGACACTCAACATTCTTATTAAATTTTGAATCAAATAACATATTTCAAATGTGAGCAAGTTGCTGATAGGAAATATAAAAAAGTTCTAAAGATTATAGTGGTATCTAATGCTGCAGTTGAGATATTGATTAAAATACCAAGTGATGTCATATTTCAACATCGTTTAAAATCACAGGTGATGAATAATACTATATCTTTTTCACATACCATACCCATGGTGAGGTTTGTAAACATATCTATTTCACACAATTTGCATTTTCAAACGATTAAAACTGTATTAGATTAGTAAAGTCATTAATGCATTATAAATGACCTAGCAGTATGGAAAATGACGAATATGAGAAGGCAATGTGAAAAAAAAACTACCTATAGAAATAATCAAATTGACTAGGCATTATTTATAATGCACGTCACCTATCATGCAAAACGTAATGAGGTATGAATTGTTTCACTGCAGTAGATGAATTTATGAGTTATCACTGCCATCATACGAAGGTATTTTTGTCTTTATTTATTTTAGATTTTAAGTTTAGTAAAAGTAATCCTTCAATCGAACTATATAAAAACACTAACACGTACGACTTGTTCCTTCTTGATAATTTTTGTAAGTGTGAAAAGCTCGCATTACTTTTAGTTTTACATTTTTATTTAAAAAAGTTCATTATTTATCAACATAATCAGTACTAGGGATGACCTATATTCATCGATGTTGAATTAATTGATAGTACCAAAACATCGAAATTTTGATATAAAGAAAACCTAATTTTTATGTTTGTAATTACTACATACTTATCTTATACATATTTTACATACATGTTTACAAAAGCTGGCTCTACTCTTTATCAACAAAGAAATATATTTAAAGATTCTTCTCTATCAAAAACATTTTTCCTTCAATCAGTTGATAAAAAATATTGGAATATTGTAATAATTTGTTCTGTTTCTTAGTAAATTTCGAAAGATTTCATTTCTTTGTAAATTATTGCAAAAATCATCGATGTTTTCCAACATTGATGTTCAGTTTTCGATAAATATCGAACATCGATGTTGGGCTTACGATGATGACATCGATGTCATCGTCGATGTTTTTTCTGATATCGATCATCCCTAATCAGTAAAAACGTGTTAGGCTCATCAAATAAATATCGATATTTTCAATCCGATATATGGATATTTCGAGGCGATACATTTTGTAACTATATATCGATATAAAATATCCAATATCGAATTTGTAACAAATACGATATTTTGTTTTTATTTGAACGAGAAAATTAACCAAAAAAAAACATCATTAAATTTTCCTTCTGTTAGGGCGCTTGTGCACTACACTGAATTTTCAGGTTCGGAGGTTCGATTATATTTCGATATATTTCGATCCGGAATGACATGAAAAACCCGGATGAGTAGCTTGTCCGTTTTTTTCCTGATTGGAGCGGCGCAGTTTAGAGTAGCTCTCTTTGAAGCTACACGTCACTTATGCTAGGTACGATGAGATTTTTGGAACGTCTGTAATTGCTTGCTTTGTTACTCTACGTGCTAAGACGTAGAAAGGGACCTAAATAATGAATGACCTGATCATTTTATATAAACCATAGTAAATTGAGACGACGAAAGCATTTTTTTTTATTACTATCGGATGACTACGATCAGATGTAAAAATTTAGGAATAGCATTATTCACATATAATAGCGAAAAATATCTGTGACATTAGAATAAAATTACTGATTATATTCTAGTACTTAATGTTTAAATTTATAATCGTGCTATTTTTATGCTATTTAAATCAACTTCAAGCAATTACAGAGATAGACCAATCGTTGGCGACATTTCGTAAACAAATCGAAATTAGTGCCGTGTAAGCGGAGAATTAATATGCTAAATAAACCGTACGATGGCATTTAAATCAGCCATCTTATTATAAGTTTTAAATGTCAAGATTTAACTTTAATCATTGTAAGATCAGTTAGCTGTATTATATATATATATATATATATATATACTTACCAGCTTTTATTTTATACGCGTGGTATAGTTTCCTTGAGCAGAATTCCTTTTCTTTTAGAATATTTCTGTTATCAAATATTTATTTATTCTTATCTTATTAATTGTATAAAAACTAATTTTGACAAAATGTCAAATTTTCATCATCTATGTCCACCTATGTTTCGTGATAAAAGGTAGCCTAGCAGCCTAGCAAAGTATCGATACTAGAACCATACGATGATCAAATTAGAACTAAATCGAGTTTGCCAAAGCATATGCAGTGATATTTACCAAATTTATCAAATCATCATATAAAATATCGCATTTTATAATCTACAATAAATATCGATAATGAGTATATCGAAAATTCACAATATCGCCGAAATTAATATCGACTATTTTTTCCCAAGCCTACTCCGCATCCTCATGAATTTTTCGGATCGCGGACAAAGCAGTGCATAAGCGTAAACACGTTTTTCATTGCCGCCATCACGGACCTGAAAAACCGGTCCGGAATAGAGAAAGTATAATTCCGGACGGTAAAATTCCTGACAGTGCACATGCTAGCATTACCTACATATGGCCTGACATATCGGACCGGAAAAATTCGGACCGCCGGACCTGAAAAATCAGTGTAGTGCACAAGCGCCCTTATTCTCACACTTCTACTCTTTGGTTATCCGTTCTCCGTAACGAACCTCAACGTGCGCGTTTTTCTGCATTTGAATTGATTATAGTCTACAAAAAAATCTATTTTTAATTCAACCAATAATTAATTTGAGCATTCCAGTCATGTCTAGTGTTGTATGGAACTTTTTCAAAAAAAAATAGACAAACCGTTTCATGTAATATGTGTGGAAAAGTATATAAAACCCGTAGCAATACGATGAATTTAGCTGCATATCTAAAAAATAAGCATCAATATTTGTTTCTCCAATTTAAAAATAAAAACGTCAAGTGAAGTGGTTGATATTACACCAAGTTCTTCAGAACCTTAGTTGATTGAAGTAGATTAGACCTTTTTACATATCGCACCGATATTACTATATTTATAAATAATAATATCGATATTTACAAATAATAAATGTCGGTATTCGAAACGGCTTTATAATATAAACAAATTATTAATACGTACCTTCATTTCATATTTCATAATTGGCGCAGCCTTAGATTATACGCAACTAATAAGGATCAAAGAAAAGAGGGATGCGTGATCTTACTTTGCTTTAGATACTCATTCTGTACCCTGTTTTTCTCATACGATTTTCCAGGCATAGGATCCGATCTGAGTTTAGATCATGTTATATTAAATTAATTCGAAAAGTCGGTTGATCATATTGTTGTGAATCGATATTTTAGAAGATCGATGCACGACATCTGGCAACACTAAATTGTCGTAGACCTTAGTTAGCTCTTTAATTATGTCAAATTTCCGTAAGACACGGCATTCACTGTAGAAATGGCAACTCTGATTACATTGCACAGAAGGTCATTATGTCGTGCAAGTCAAAGGGAAAAAAAAGCCATTATGCCCTAATGATTCATTAATTTGACAATTTAGAGGTTAATAGCCCATGTCCATTTAAAACACATTGCATTTTTTTATTTATCGTATTTCTAAGTGAAAAAATAACATGTCTTTAACAAGTTTATCCTCGTTATCCGATCCAGAAGACATACCACATCGTTATATCCCTGATAGAATTAATTTATTAGATAAATATCATGGTGAAGATTTTCGTGCAAGATTTAGAGTTTCCAAGGAAACAGCAGTTCAAATAAGCAGTATGCTTAACCTGGAACCCATAACCCAAAGAAATAAGTCAATTGATGGGTTGACGCAACTGTTGGTTTGTTTAAGGTTTTTCGCGACCGGATCTTTCCAACAAGTTCTAGGTGATGTTTTAAATGTACACAAATCAACAGTATGTCGGATCGTACAGAGAGTATCTAGAGAGCTCGCGAAATTGCATTCCACTTATATAAATATGCCTACGGAGCAAGAGTTACGTGAAGTTGCAGAACGATTTTATGCAATTGATGGGTTTCCACGTGTGGTAGGAGCTTTGGATTGTACACATATTAAAATCATAACAAGAGGGTGTTCATTGTCTGAACTTTATCGCTGCAGGAAAGGATATTTTTCATTAAATATTCAGGTAGTATGTGATGCATCATTAAAAATAAGAGACATTGTTGCCCGTTGGCCGGGATCTGTTCAAAATGCTACTATATTTAATAATTCCCACTTATGTGCTGATTTTGAAAGGGGTAAATATGGTCACTATCTTCTACTGGGAAATAGTGGATATTTTAATAAAAATTATTTAATGACACCTGTATTAAACCCACAAATGGATGCAGAAGAAGCTTATAATAAATGTCATAATGCAACTCATAATACTATAGAAAAATGCTTTGCATTATGGAAACAACGATGCCCTTGCTTAGAAAAAGGGATCAGACTGAATAAAACATCAACTATTTTACAAGTGATTGTGGCAAGTGCAGTGTTACACAATATATGTATTGAGTTGAATGAAGAATTGCCACCAAATGATGTGAATATTGAGTTCCAATCAAATGACTTTAGCATTGATATTCCTATGAATATTCATTCACAGGAAACATCTATCCGGGCTGCACTTATAGATACTGTATTTTCTTGAGGTTTAGCCATGTATTTAGTGTTTTGTGTGTAATACCAAAACTCAAAAAATTTGAGGATGTCTTGAATATATCAGTGGCGTGTCCTAAAAGGGGCTATTAAGGTGATCGTGGATACACAAAAATCATTTCAAATATGCATGTTGTATCCATTCCATTTATAATTGGAAATACTACTCTTGAAGTTGTCAACCACTATGTGTAATAAGGACAGACACTGCAGGTAGACAAACCTTGGAAAAGAGATTTCTTGTTGAATCCAGTCCATATGGGTGTTGTTTAAGAAGGCTCAATATCAGTCAATAGGCAATGAAGAGAGGAATGCTTGGTGTTTTTCTCTGTTTGATTATATTAAAAATGAAGAATCTTTAAGAGAATCAATATTACTCAAAGCACTGCTCATCTAAAATGGTAGATTGCAGGGAGCTGCTGGATATAGGGACTGAAGGACTGATTGGCGGGGTTATCTTTGGGGAGACAGGTGCAGCAGTGGAAGTTGTATGACTGAGAATTAATAAAAATAAAAGATACATATGTTCATACTAAAAACTTTGTTTAATTATTTTGTCAATTTTTCTAATTTTTTTTTTAATATTAACATTTTCAATTGATGTTCCTTTTTTAAATGCATCACTTCGATCATAATTTTTTTTTGTTCTAATTTTGCATTCTGACATTTCTTCTTAAAGTAAAGTTTTTTGAAAGTTTCAGATGTTGTTGTACTTTTAGTATTTTGTGGCGTGACCCCTGTAAGAATAAAATTAATTTGTAAAAATGAAAAAGTTACTCCAATATATTTGATACCAATAAAAGTTTACGTAATGGTAAATTTAAAATTGAAATTATTATTGTCAGATGTAAGAAAGCAGAGTATTCCAGTGTTGTTAATACCTTTATTAATTTTCCTGCTGGCCGATGCTAAAACTCTTAAGGGTGGACTTCTTATATTATTTTGATCTGAAACAATATCATGATAAAGTTATAACTACTTGTTTCTTATATTTTTATTCTCGTTTTGCCTTACATAATACAAATATTATATTTTGTTTCACATGGCTAATAAAAATTACAAAAGTAAAATACAGTAATATAATATTTCTTTAAATTAATTAACAATTCGTCTCACCCATTACTAATGATTCGTCTGACATACAGTCCCGTACAGTTTGTAGGTTACTCACTGGTGGATTCAGGGGATCCACTTCTATAATTTGTACTGGTTCGGTGCAGTTTGTGCCAGCGTCTTCATCTAAAGTATAAAATAAAGTACATAGATTATAGTATGTTATGGTGATTACATTGGTGAAATCTGACTTATTTACCTTTGAAAAAAATGGATGCACTGTCATAAGGATTTGTAAGGGGTTCTATATGGTTATGCATTGAATATGGAATGTTTGTATCAGAGTCCATTACTTGAGGTTTCCAATCACTACTGCAACTTTTATTCATTTGAACCTAAAAAAATCATATGTTTCACAGATTATTTTTATATTATTTTAGGGGTAGTAGTTAATTTTTATATTAACATAAAATTCTTTAAAATTACCTTGTCCTCCTTCATATGCTGTAAAGCTTGTTTGAGAGCATCATCTATTACACACTCTGACCCAATGTTTTGTTCTGAGTTCTGTTAAAAATATAATTGAACTAGGGTGAATTTTTAAAATAACGAAATAGGAGGTACTTGTTAAAAAAATTGGTTATTAAGAAATATTCTAGATTAATATGAAACAAATATTTACATTAAGTTCCCCCACTTTCTTGCGAGATTTTTGCTTCATGTTATCATATAGCACTTTTAACTGTTCTGTCTCTCTTGGACCAGTAGTGCTATTACTGTTGTATTTTGTGGTGATGGCTTTCCATGCTTCTTTTTTTTTAAGAAGAAATGCTCCTCCTAATGTTTTACTGTCAACAATATCTTTATATCTAAAAAACAAAATAAGAATTGATTTGTAATTGAGCACTGAAATACAAAATATTAACGCGGTAATTAATGTCGTAACTTTACTAACTGAAATACAAGATCAGCTAGTAATGCTTTTTCCTCTGCTGTGTAGTTGGCTCCACGGTCTCGTTTTGGCTTTTGAGACATGTTTCTACAATAAATCTAATGCAAATGCAAAATCTAAGACTTTAAATAATCACACAAAACAATAAACACTGCACGTAAACTACGAATGACAACTTCAGATTTGACGTTTTGCGTTTAATAATTTCAAATAAACTGCATTTGACAGCCAAAGAACAATAGAGTTGGTCTGAACTAAACGCAACCAATCGTACATTTCATTAAATATTTGACTTTTTCTGGCAAAATTGTCGTCATTAGTTAATGGATAACATAGTGTATTAATGGATCGTTAATAGATGTTTTAGATTATTTGTGTAACATCATTAATATAATGCTTCAATAGAATTTTAAGCTTCATTATATAATGAAGAGATAATGGACATGTTTTGTGCAACCGTCTGTTGGACTTGAACATATAACCAGAAAAATAAACTATTTTATAGCAAGTTTTTATTGTACATACAAACTAAATAAGCACAACGATTAAGTATTTAAATACATTTCAGATTTAATACAATTTTTCTTTTTCTTGACATCTATAAAAAGTGCATTCTTTTTTAACGCCAAGTGACGCCGTCCACGTTCCGTTCCACGCAATATGATGAATAATACAACGGTTATAAATAACCACACTAGTTTTATCTCAAAATTAACGATTCTTTACATAATACTCATATAATTTAAATCCAAAGACGCCTTTTGATATTGCAAAAGCAAAAAATATATAACTTAGAATTAATATCTTAGAATTCAATTTTGAAGTAGATATCTTCAACCGATTGAGCTGAAATTTTGTATATACGGTTAGTTTAGACGACAATGCATGATAATGTGTGTGACATTTTTCTAAATCCAATATGGTGGACCATCCAAGATGGCGGAATAGTTGTTCTCAATGCACTTCTTCAATATGGGTATCAAAGAAAATACTCCATTCATTATAGCATTAGACAGAAGTTAAATAAGGTTCTTTTTATGGTATACTTTGTGACAAAATATTAACAATCATGTTACTCTTAAGACTGACGGCTTATTTGCTACATATCCACTTAAATACCAGCTGCTATACTTAACAGTTGTCGTTTTAGCCATCTGTTAAGCAAAATTATGAGTATTTGACTAACTTTAAATATTTAATAACTCTTACAATAAAAAGTGTTCATCTTAAAGAAGCAGGGTTGGATAGTTTCGGCACGATTCTCATGTCACTATAACTCTACCAAATTTAAAACGTTGCCCAATCCCTTCAAACGTTTCGGAAGTACAGCTTTTTAATTTTGTCAGATTATGATGTATTTATAATAGTCAAAATACGTAATCTGGGATTCTTATTAATTGTGAATGTTATTGCCTTTCTTGTTGTTTTACCGTATTCCGTGATTGAGTTGTTATTGTATTATTTTTGTTCTCTTATAGTTTTGTTTAGTTGTTATCCTTTGTAGTTAAGTGTCGCTAAATATGGACGATTCCGGTGCAGATCCGAATGGCCTACAACAATTACCTCTTTCATTTCAGGAAGTTTTTCCAATATCTTAATCAAAAATCTAATAATATCTGAATAAATGTTATAAAAGTAATAATAAAAATTTCATTTTGTTTACCTTTCCTGGGCATAAATATATCTAGATTCTATTCTAATTATACATTTACAATTAGAATTTTATCAAAACATAGTTATAGTTCAATATTGGCTTGGGAGTAAAAGATGAATTTAGAAAATTCTATCCTCATCGCAAAAGAAAATGGAAAATTGCGCAACTCTTTCAAACATTACCTAACGTTCAAAGTTTCAACAAAACTATTATATATATTTTTAAAATTTATCTTGAAAATAAAATGTTCTGCACTGCTGCTTCTTTAAAGCGATAACTAAACAGTAAAAAATAAATTAAAACCAAAAACAAGCCTTCATTTAAACGCCCTATAAATAAAAAATAAATCCTTTTAAATTTTAACTACCGACTATATAACTTCAATATATACAATTTATATGATCATAAAAATTTGTTCGTTAGCTTTGATTTGATTTGCTTTGAAAAGCTTGGGCGTTGATAACGCCCAACTCTGCTAAAGTGTAACTAACCCCTTTTGAGTTTTGTCAGGTTTTGAGACATGTCATCGGACCATAAATAGAGACATTAACCATTAAATTTGAGAACTGATTACTCGATTATCCATCATATTGTGAGATATCGATTATTGTGTCGTACATTATTTGTTTTTTTTTGTGGAATAGAGATTAAGTTTCCATTTTGAAAGATACTTTACTGTCACAACAAGATTGTCCGAGATATACTTATCAATAAAAGCAAATATTTGAACTTAAGTTTATATAAATATTGGCTTTTATTGATTATTTTGTGCTCAGGCAGAACTTCCTTCTTACTTCAATCTGCTACGTATCCAACGCAACAAAAACATGATCAGATTTTAATGCGAAAAAATATAATAATAATTAGGTATTTATTTTATCATTATAAGTTCAGAAGGGTATAAACAATATGATTACTTTACTGAAGTTGTGTACTTGTGTCACCAACTGTGTACCATCGAACAAAGCGATTTTACAGATTTTTACCTTCCTTTTATTTAAACAAAAAGTTTATAAAGGTTTATATTTATTAAATGCACATAAAAATTGCCAGGATTTGTCTTTTGTGGTAAATTTACTATCTTTACTAATTAACAAACAATGGCGTCAATTCCACTGCACGCGCAGCTTGACAGGATTTCACTTTTTCTGTAGGTAGAAGACATATATATAGAATTTAACAGCAGTATTGCAAAAATAGTATCTAATTTTGATACTCAAAGCACTCTTTTGTACCATCGACATGGTAATAGGGATGACGAAAAGGTAAAGAAAAGGTATTCTATTTGTTTCCTTTACTTCAATTTAACAAGAAATAGCTTAGATAACTTGCATTAAAGTTGAGGATTGAGGGCTCGCTACGTCACAGTTTTGTAGAAAATGTACAGAAGCATGACGTCATGTGACATTTTAACTCGTTTATTGCCCTAATTAAATGATCACGCAAAAACATAAAAATGCGTGTTTAATATTTACAATCTACCTGACGGACAAACAAAGAAAAATTTGTCGTTATCCATATTGTATCCGATATGAATTAAAAACGGTTGAAGTATGAGAAAATAAGAGATTAACTTGGCTACAACATTATTTTTAAGAAAAAACGCGTTAGGAACGTTTGTTTGGAACGTTATGTAATAAATGAAAAGTTTGTTTTTTGCAAAATACTCGAAAAAAGGTATATCGATATATCTGCCAATAACACCCAACCGTAAAAACTTTAGTTACAGTTCAGTGCTTGCAACAGTGCCAAAATATCGGGGATTCAAGAAATTTTATGGTACATGGTGGCAATCCCGTATGTCACAAATGCCGCTTTTGTAGAACCTTATATTCTATCTTGTTTCAAGTGTCAAAAGGTATTTATTTTGCGACGTCTTTATTCGCATGGTATAGGTTCGTTTTTTGGCAGGAGCTGTTTTTTATTTTTTCTGCGACACTGACAAATGTGGTGTTTAAAATAACTGATTCGGTTTTGTCACAAATACTTACATTACTCACATATTTTTTTATCTAATCTGACCGAGTTCCATTTGTCTTCTAAGTTGGTATATTTTATTAACGTGGTGGAAATAGGTACTTTATTTTACGATTATAATGAAATATCGATTAATTAAATTAAGGTCAAATATGAATTATTCGTATTGTGCTCTTTAGTGCACATAAAATTGTCGATAAATTATAATAATAATAATTTATTTCAGACTTTTTAGTACAATTTGTAGTAAAAAACAAAGGTAGAAATCTTATATGAGGGACTGATGTCTGCTAGAGGTTCAACAGAACCAGTAGTACAGGTCACCAATTTCTTTAAATCATGGGTTTCAACATTAGTTTTAACATTTTATATTAAAAAGTATGTATATGTGTCGCAGCCAATTGGTTAAAACAGCCGTTCAATTGGATGACTCCATTTAATTGCATGTCTCTAACGTGAAACTAAAGCCCTTATTGATTTGAATAATAAAGCGCTAAATGATCAGTGTGTTATGTAATAATCAATAGCTCGGTGGCGTAGTGGATATACGCCGCGGCCCGCGAATGTCGGTCACGGGATGGATTATCTCGAGCTACTCCGTGTTTCGGAAGACACGTTAAGCTGCTGGATCCAGCTGCATTTGCAATCATTAATATCCTAAAATCTGCATTGGGCCAGCGTGGAGGTTCACCATCCATTAGGAAAGCCTAAGTCTGCAGTGGGGACGTAAAAGGGCTAATGATAAAATGATCAACGGGCTGATTGTCTAATTTTAATACCTATCGCAATCCTTTTTAAAGGATTGCGATAGCTTTTTGAAGCCTAAAATATGATTATATAAATAATGTCACGTTTAAAAAATGGTTTTAATGATCATCATTCGCTCAGAAAGCGAAATGAATAAAAACTTAATAATTTAAAGCTTGCCTCAGACAATAGGGATGATGACTGGGTAAAAAAAAAATGCAATTCTATTTAGTCCGTCAGTCAGATAATAGAAAAATATTAGATACGTATTTTTTTTACTTCAATTTAACAAGAAATAGCTTAAAATTAAAGTTGGGGAGTGGGGGCTCGCTACGTCACAGTTGAGTAGAAAACGTATTCTAACGTGACGTCATGCGAAATTTCAGCTCAATGTAACGTCGTAATTTTAAGATTACGAAAAAAATTAAAAAAATACGTGTTTAATATTTTTTAACACTCTACCTGACGGACAAACAAACAAAAATTAGTCATCCTCTATCCCTATCATCGTTATCGTTCAATTGATATCTTTAAAAAAAGTCGCGTTAGCAATCGTTATCACATGTTAAGAAGTCGTAGCATGAAGTTTGTGAATATCTTTCAAATGTCAAATTGAAAGGGATTGCGATAAATTTTCAATTTAGACAATTAGGCCCTGGGTCCAATCAGGGTGACAGCAGATCAACAACCGGTCGCATTCTGTTGCTATAAAGTCGATGATTCCTTGTTAGTGAACATTTACACATTTCAACTAATTTCTGAATATTCATAGAGAAAATATTTTCTTTTTGTGTACGGTTTCTCTCATAATATGTAGGTAATTGGTTACTTGTTTTGTATCGTGTGTAAATAAATAAGTATATTATTATTAAAATCAATTGCTTGATCTTATAATGTTTAGAAATCTGACTAACCTCATCTCAATATAGCATCTGATTATTTTTTTAAAGTAATAGTTATAATATTATTATGATTTAACAATGTTACTATTTATTAACAGTTGCCGAAAATAGAGGCGCAGCTTAGAGAGCTTGTGACTGAATACGAGGCGAAAACGGGATCTACCTTTACTGTGGATGGCAAATCGTTGCTACAAGTTATCGAAGAGGATTGGGAGAATAGGAAAACGGTGAGTAGTGTGTTTAATAAGTTCGCGTCGCAATACACTCTTTTTAAATTTGTTTCGCTTCCTTGCCAGTCGTAACTCTTTGTATATCCTTGCCTGTTTTGATACTCGTACAATGTAAATGACATCTGACTGTAGTGACATCTATCGCATCGTGCTAACATCGACACCACGATCGACGGCAAGACGGAAGTTACTTTTCGTAATCACGAACTGGCGCGGCGATTTCTGCATCGCGCTCACTAAGTTGATCGTGTCTTAATATATGTACAATTTCTAACCTACATCGATTGGATCCAGCTCGGGCGGAGAAAATTTCCTTTTAGTCCTATCTTACTAGTTGCTACCTACAAGTAGGACCGTAGCGGCATTCCTGGGGCCGTATTCGCTATGATTCACCACGTAATATCGTATTAAGATATGAAATTTGCAATATTTCTACTGGCTATGCACATGACGACCTCCGTAGCCGAGTGGTTCGCACGCCGGTTTCAAGGTGTTGACATCTCTGAGGTCCCGGGTTCGATCCCCGGTCGGGTCAATGTAGAAAATGAACTTTTCTACATTGTGTCGGGTTTAGGTGTTGTGTTACTTTCGTTGTCTCAGATACTCCATAATACGGGGGCTTTGACTACTCATCTTGGAATCTGAACAATGTATGATATTGTGTAATATTTATTTATTTATTAATATAATTTAACTGTTTAATTGAATGAAACCCCGTGGAAAACATGTGGAAACAGCACGACTTCTGCGCGATATGAACTATCAAAAAATTCCATAATCGGAAATAGTGCGGAATGCCTGAATCTAACCAAGTTTAAAACACAACGGCGTTTAAACGTTGAAATATTAAACGCTGCCAACTTATCGTGGTAGCTACAACTTGGACCATATCGAATGGAATGATTCAGCGGACTACTCAGTTACATGTGATATGGATGTGGTTCTTTTAGATTCAAGTTTGAAATCTCGATTGTTATGTTAGGTTAGGTTACAATAACAGGTTAAGTTACAATAACAAATTGAATAGTAAACAATGGTTACTATGTCAACGTTTAAAATCCCTATATAAACTTTCAATCCCATTTTCATCTGTTTATTTGTCGTTTTTCTGGATAAAATATAGTCTATTTTCACCGCACATGATGTAGCTTCCCGTAGGAGAAAGATTTTTTTTAAATCAGTCCAGTAGTTTCGGAGCCTATTCTTTGCAAACAATCAAATCTCTACTCTTTATAATATTAATAAATATTACAATTATCGTTTATATTGATATATAGGAACGTCAGAACAAACTGTCCGCCCGCAAGCAAGCACTGACGCCGGTGACACCGGTGCTGCGCTCGCTGGCCATCTCCCCGCTCGGTAAGCGCAACCGCACCGCCGCCGGCCTAGCGCACACGCAGGACAGGAACAGGTATACATACAGGAATAGGTACACTCACATATGCACACAAAAAATCTTAACGCTCCATTTGATTATCTCAATAATGATGATGATCATGATGATTTATTCTTACCTATTAACATAGGTAAGAATAAATCAGAATAGAATAATAAATAAAATAGAAGAATAAATAAATAAGTATTCAATAATGCTGATTAGGGGACTTATGGCGCAGCGGTTATCGCATTAAGTATGCGATGCGGTGCTTAAGAAACTTTCACTATAGGGTAGTTTCGGTAGTGAAAAATAAGTCACGAAATTGGACAAAACCGAATTTGAGTCTTAGAATCGCACGATTATTTATCTTAAAATTAAAAGTCGTGATTTTTTGTTCGGGTGTCAAGTGGCTTGAATCACGATCCGCCATCGTGATTGTGTGGCATCGTCACTGTGGCGACAACTGTCGGATTAGTCATGAAGATATGCCTATTAATTATAAATCTCATTCCTAGATGGCGCTGTCGTGTTTTATATCGTATAATAATCCCTCGTTAGATGGCAATGTTCATGTTTTATTGACATCTTTTAATTTTCTACTATATGAATCTGTTTTGTGTACATATCAGAATGACGTCATGAATATGATGGACAGCGTCTTCGCGGGTATAATTATTTTTATTTAATTTAAAGGCTTAACAGTTACAAGTATTATTTCAAATAGAGTAGAATATCCTATCGCCGGTCATAGGATAGGTAACCAAAAATTCATTATTTAGAGCTTTTCAGTGCTTCAAAAGGCACGTTAAGCCATTGGTCCCGGCTGAAGCTGCAGTCGTTAACAACTGACAATCCGCAATGGGTCCGCGTTGTAGTCTATTACCCATTCTCCTCTTTCAATTCGTTTCCATTACATCCATAGGGAAACCCTGATGATTCAGGTTGGGTCCTGATATCTTGCAAGAACCTTGATTCTGTCACCCTCATGAGGGTCATTAGAAAAAAGGGTCTGATAATGATAACTGAGAATGTAAAATGATATACCTTTCACCTTATTGAACTTTTAGTTTAGGATTTAATTATAAAAGTACATATTGACATTAAATTAGGACGCTTGATTCATAGGCCTACCAAGAGGCAGCTGATCACCGGCAGCGCGACGAAGGCGGTCACTACATTCTCTAACAACCTCTCCGCTCTCAAAAGATCTGCCATATCTACCGTCAAAAGGTAAGGAATTCAAAATTGGATTTCATTTATTTGTTGAACAATATACCTATATCATGTATTTATGTTTATACAAGAAATATTTAAAGGGATTCCGTTTTTTGCATGTTTTGATTCCTTATATACTTGATCTTAATATGCCATTACATTTATGATTTAGGATTTTATGTTTAAACATTATTATGAGTAGATAAATTATGTGTAAACTGTTAAGTCAAAATAGTACGATCCGTAAATATAATGAGGGTAAACAAAATTATGCCATCTCAAATTATGCTCTAAAAATAAATAGGCGCAATTATTTAAACTAGCTACGTATTTGAATAGTTTAATATTTATTTACTTATGATACGCCAACAGCATAAATATACAAGATTTACATAAAATAAATCAGTCAATAGCGCACCTGATGTGTACACTTTTTACAGACATGTACAACATTCACCATAGAGTAGTTTCGGTAGTGAAAAATTTACATCATAATATACATAGAGATTCCGATAAAAGTTCTAAAACACACGATTATTTTATTATCTTAAAATTAAAAGCCGTGAATTATTGTATGTGTGTCACGTGACTTGAAACACGACTCGCTATTGTGTGACATCAGTGTGGCGACGGCTGTCAGATTAGTTACGAAGATATGTTTATTAATCATAAATCAAATTCCTAGATGGCGCTATTCTTAGCTTATTAATACCTTTTTATTTTATAATCGATCGTTAGATGGCATTGTTCTTGTTTTCTTGATATCTTTTAATCTTCTACTTTATGCATATGACGGACAGCATTATTGCAGGTATAGAGTAAAAATTTTGATATAAATATATAAAAAAAATTATAAGGCAAGAAAACGTGTATTTATTGTTCCGAAATATTTGTTTTTTGACTCTTTTAATTAAAATAAACACAGATATTATTTCATACAAAGTAGAATACCCTATTATATAGCACTATTAATAAACTAAATTACATATTATATTTGAAGCTAGCAATGATTTAGCAGTGTTACAAATTAATTTAAAAAATATCTTTGATTGAAACATATTTATTCTTGAACGCTCGAATGTCTAATATATTTTTCATTCCTTCATAAATTACAGTGCTCGCTTGTGAAACGAAGTGCGAAACATTACGAGGCAAGTTTTGCTTGATTAGTGACAGTAGAGAAATTAATTGTTAGATGGTGTTACATTGTGCGCTCGTAGAGGGAATGAGAAATATTGTATGTTACATAATGTGCTTGTAGTGTTAGTATTCGTATTATTATCACGTCATACGTAACAAACGGTTCGGTTATCTAGTAGGTGAATCGGTAATCATTTAATTAGACTTTTTTAAATTGTATTCTGCTTTGATCTGGTTTGTATTGTTAGTAATTAAATCGACTATGTAGCTAACGTGTTTAAGAAAATTAAGATTGTTATAAAATGTACATGTTTTAAAACATTTTTTATCCATTCCGTTTTTATTCCTTTTTTTTTACACAAATATATTCAATCTGTCAGGATTGTGGCTATAGTTAGACATTAATATAATAAGATATAAATTTTGTTCTGTGCACATACAAAATCTCATATAATTACCGTAACGAATTGTAAACTCAAATTTTAACATATTGAGATTTAAAATTAATAGAAGAAGTTTGGCACTTTTGTATAAACCTGACGTAACTGAAACTCATAACTACCGTCAATTATGCTTACCAATGACTTAAAATAATTCCACTAACTTTTTTTGTTTTGAACAATGTCCTCAGTAAAATTATAAATATCATTTGTAGGACGCAATTGCTTACTTACCAATACACTTTACCTATTATTATTCACATTCTATATTCTAAGCAATATGGTTGAAATTCTTCTGCAGGCGTATAAGCGGGCGGTTAGCGGCTCGCGCGGTGGCGGAGGGTAAACCGGAACTAGCTAAGAGAAAACTCGAGTATGGCTCTACTGGGAGAACACCAAAGACAGTCAACGGCAGTATACTCAAGCATAAGCGAACGGTATGTTGATTATCTATACTAATATTATAAAGAGGTATATTTGATTGTATATTTGCAATGAATACGCTCCGAAACTTCTGGACCGATTTTAAAAATTCTTTCACCTACGGGAAGCTACATCATACAGAGAGAACAGCAAATAGAGGGATGAAACTTGAAGTGTTCAATTGTGAAACTATTTAATTTGTCATTGTATCTATATAAAATAAACAATTCCCTAGGAACCACGCGAGTGAAGCCGCTGGTGGAAAGCTAGTAATGTTATAAGTCCTCTAGTTACCATACAGTGATAACAAAAAATTTATAATAAACCAACGTGACTGGTTGTACTATAACGGTTTTAATTTTATAATATGGCAATTTAATTCTATTATATTAAAGAGTGTTTATGATAAGTTTTTAGAACAAATCAGTGATACTAGTTACCAAATTGGGGTTTAAACATTTAAAAAACTGATAATAATAATTTCTTTCAAACTTTATTTCTGTCACAATAGCTACATACCAGATAAGTACGCGTTAATATGTTCTTGAAACTTCTATAGTACCGAATTTTGCTACTAGGGAAACTAATAGATATTTTTTCGCGATTTCTGCCTGTGTAAATTATAGCCTATGTCATCCGATTATGATGTAGCTTCTCGCAGGTGATTGAATTTTCATGATTGGATCAGTATTTCCGAATATTACTTCTTGCAAGCAAACAAAGTTAGATACTTTATTGTTATATAATAGTAAATTTAAGGAAATAGTAAATAAAACATATAAAACAAAATATATATAATAGTCTTTGTTTTATATGTTCGTCATAGCCGCAGGTTTAACATGATTATTATTCTGTCTGTTGCATATTTTTATTTGTTTTGTTTTTTTTTGTCTGCAGTCCGCCGGTAAACGTAAAAGCAGCAGCCGTCGTTCAACCAATGGCACACGTTCCAGCATGTCGCAAGACAACGATCCGCCTAAGAACCCTCTAATGGAGACCACTTTACTCACCACATACACTGATTTTAAGGTAATCAATATACGTAGGTAGTTAGTTGCACGTCATGTTACAGTGAAAGTTTAAAGATTTCTAAACGCTTTTAAGTTTTAATCTATTGCCAATAAAGTCGCGGATTCTAAATATGAATATTGTGCTTTAATTCAATGAACTTATAAGAATGGTTTATTATAAGCACAAGCTTGATGACTTCATGTCATTGCTTTCATAAATAACTACCGCCATCTAGTGAAGAAGTTAATCTGCCACCTAGGTAACAAAAAATATTTTTGTAGAAATTCGCGTATGTGCACTAATATAGTATTTTAATATCGGTGGTAAACTTCAATATTAATTTCATACGTTTGATTTTTTTAGTAACTTGATGTAAGTTCATATAAAACATGTACTATATTTCTATCTCCTGGCATACAACAATTTGTATTATAATGAACAGAATGTTACTACTTTGTGAAAAATAAAAAATGGCTTTGGAAATAAAAGTGAATTAAGCATAAAATTAATTCACTGTAAAGTTTAAGGACACAACTAGATCGAAGTTGAGATGTAACATAAAGATTTCTTCAACAGGACGGCATCAACGAGAAACAGATCAGCCGCAGCTCAATGGCTAACACGAAACCGCCGGAATCAGTTCTACCAACTATAGTGTACACAACCATCGAAGAAAAGAGGACGCCAACTACGCCGAAAAAATCCCAAAAACATCCCACACCCCTCACCCCTAAAGTGGGCAAAGAGAACATACAAGTGACCAACTTTCCAGCGACGCCAAAGTCTAATTTACTCAGTACCCCAACTAGATTAACCCGGTCAGCTTTCAAGCTGAATAATAATGGATTCGCTACGCCGCGTGCGCCGCTCACTGCCAGCAAAGTTAATCTACAGCGTCAGAACACCGCCACTAGCATCACAGTGAAGACTACGCCTAATAACGTGAGTCGTTCAAAATCGCACACGCATTTAGTTCGAGTCAAGAATCTGCCGCCTCTTATTTAAATGTTTATTTTGTTATAATGTAGGTTCGTTTCTTAAATTTTAAAGCACAATTTTTTATTTGAGATAGGTTCGTTTCATCTGAACACTGATTGGCATCTCTAATAATTCATCATGTTCGTTCTTTATCCATGAAGCTTAGTAACAGTGCATCTACATGCGATTTAGTATTGTTTTCTATACTGTTTTGGGATTACAACAGACCAATTTTCATATAAAATTTATACTGCTGTAGAAATCGAGTTTCGTTTGCATAAACTGCTACTAAGGTTCAGGAGGCTTTCTTGTGAGTTGTGTATCTGTTTTTATGCTTATTCAGTAAAAAAAATTTTTTAAGTATATTTTAAATATTGTGCAATCGGTGTATTCCTTATTGCAAAATATCGGTTGGCTTGAATAAATTCGAACGACTAATGTTGCCATATCATTGAATTTCATTTTTTTATTATGTTCGTTTGAAATGATGTTTTGTTCTCAATAAAGTTTTATCTAACTTGTAAAAATAACACTTGTCTAAATGGGGCCTACAATGTATTTTTATAAATTGTTTCAATATATCAATTTAACAAAGAGCTATAATTTGACATAAACAATTTAATTTAGTTAACGGAGTTAAAGTCTATTATAATTACATTGATTTTAGGAGCTCATGACTACTATAATATAATGAAATTAATAGTGTTTAAATAAAGGAGTTTATCCATTATTAATTAGCTTTCCTGAATATTATATGCTGATCAGCTGTTTATAGCTCCTTAAGCATTTATTAACATAATTACGTGAGCTTTGTGATATATAGGTATCTTAGATAATATTATTATAATTGAGTGATATTTTTAATTATTGTAACTGACAAGACCCATTTTCAATTTATAATTGCTACAATTTTTTATTATTATTCAATGCTCAATTATTAATTTTATTATGACATTTGATATTGAAAACCTTTTAATAAAACATTCAATGTACATTTGAATCTCTACAAAGTTTTTAATTTAAGTTCGTTTGTTGATAGTTTATGAGTAGTTTGATAAGTTTCTTTGTAATATTATTATAGCAATTTGAGAGTATCAGAATATTGTTTCGTTTTATATTAGTTTTGATTGCAGCGCTTATGTGACGTTATGTTTTGTATTACAGCCACGTTGATCGTGTATACGCATGACATTAATAAAATAAACGAAATATTATTATCACTGAGACAATGACTTTGGCAGCTTTTCAATGTCATACAGAGATGTACTTAATCAAATCAGTATTGCCAACATAAAAAATAATATCGTTAATCACATTTCAGTGGCGTGTTGTGGTCGTTTCTTTATTATATTTGTCACTAATTTAATTTTAATTTCTTATTTTTAATTGTAAATTATGGTTGTAATATATTTGCATAGTTTATATAATGAGTTTTTATTTCTACATCCATGGCCGCATTGATTAGTGGACGGAGATTAAATGCAGAGACGAAATTAGTTACAAATCAGTAATTTTAAATAGAATTGAATAGATATAATAATGTCTATATATTTTGATTTCGAAGTAGGATCGAAAGGTAGAAGATTCAGGAGAGCAGTGGATGGCGATAAATATGATATTGTCTTGTTTCGTGACAACGATGACGATAAGTTATTTGGTGAAGTTGATATTGGTAAATTGATGTAAGTATTTTTAGTACTTTTAAGGCAACAATTGAAAGCGTTACAATTTTGTTGTTGATAAAAAAACTTATACGGACCCAAGTACAACCCGAATCGTCGGAGATTTAATGCCTATAATTAATATGAGAGGTGTAATGAAGATAAGTTTGGTTCGCCTACATCGGGTCAGATTGGTTACGATCTCGGTGGCCGAGTGGCTCCGATGTGCGATCCACATCGGATTTCAAGGTCACTATCTCTACGATTCCCAATCGATTCAATGTAGAAAATAAGTTTTTCTATATTATCTCAAGTCTGGATGTAGTAAGTTGTTCCATCAGGCCAATTCTCTATGTTTACATAATAATTGCATCTCAATAAATCTCAACTTGTACTTCCATTTTGCCATTGTACCTAAAGTCCAACATTGTTAGGTATATCTGTCACCTTTGATGTGTAAGGAAGAAATTGCACTAATAATATTGGAATTAATGTACTCGTAGATAGTACAATGGTAAAATGCATTTGGAAATACGTGCTTTAGCTACTTAATTTGGAATCTCTTACAGGGTATTATTAGGAGTGTATATTTTTTTAAACTTTAATATTTGGTTGGAACTTGTAATATTTTGTTGCTCTTGGACATTTTTTTTTAGTTTGTAATAAGTAAGTAGTGATAGGCAAAAAACCCATTAATATTATGTTACAGCGAACTGTCGACCCTTTCAATTTGTATGATAAACTCTGAAAAAGAAGTTACGGGTTTCATGGCATTGGATGACCATCCAAACATCCCAAGTGTGGACCCCGCGGATTGGGAGATATGGATAAGAAATATGTTCCAGTTAGTATTTAATACTTATTTCTTATCTACCTATATTACAAAGAGGAAAGATTTGATTGATTGTTTGTTTGCATTAAATAGGTTCCGAAATTACTGTACCGATGTGACGATTAGAACAAAATAAAAATACCATTATTTCTTATGAACGTAGGCGAAAGAATGTTTTTAAAAGCGTAAGGGATCCGTGTGAAGTCTGGGTTGGCAGCAGGTACTTACTAATTTGAAGCCTTCGGGCAAACAGTCAGCGACATAATCATCGAATTAGAGATATATCAAGTTCATCATACCTAGGCCACCTAGATACGGTTTGCCTGTATAAAACTTATGTACTTGATATTGTTTTGATTTTCGGCGCTTTAATAACTAAGCTCCTTGCTGTAATAGCAATTTGACAAATCCCGCGCAATATTTCGCTCTCGAAAGACCCGAGAAACTCAAGAGTGGGATAATGTATGAGCGCACCTGAGAAAAGAGAAAAAACGTTTCTTGAGTGCTCAAAGCTGGAGTAATAAACCTACCGATATTTTTAAATTACATAAAAATGTTGTTGTAAAGTCTAATACTTGTTACGTTAAATTCTAAGTAAGCGTAAGCGTCACAGTTATGGGATATAGGTAGTAAGTATCCATATTCCTATAGTCCGTCGTGCGTCGGCTCGTATATCGGTTTTAAGATATCGTCACCACCAAGGTCCCCAGTTTGATTTCCAGTTGCGTTAATATACAAAAATGAACTTTTCTTTATTTTCTAAAGTCTGAGAGAATTGAACTTTTGATTATTAAAGTAACTCATGAAAATCTGAATAAAATTATTTTGGGATCCAACCAATGTACCTATATATGTTGTCTTATATTCATTTTTACTGTTAACTTCAAAGATAATTTACATTTTCAGGAGATATTACATGTCACGCAATACCTTGTTCATTCGCTATATGTGCTGTATTGATTCAGTCGTGGAATTATTTCTCGAAGAAGGATTGGTGACGGTGTTCGAAAACGACTTGTATTTGAAGCAAATCGTCTTAATAGTTCCACCGCAATGTCCAGAAAGTGAGAAATTAAACCTTTACCGTGCTACTAATAAACAAGCTTTAGCGTCAGGGTAAATTTACGCTAAAATTGCATATTTAGTTTTAGTCCAAAGTCATATTATACAGATAATAAGCAAACCCACCATCTAGGAGAAAATATTACTCCCGTAGAACCTCGTGCTAGGTAAACCTTTGCCAAGTCTCTGTTTGTTAATATGAATTTTGACTAATACTAAGTGCAGTCTCAGCGGAAATTTACTCCAACGCTAAACCTTGTTTATTAGTAACACTGTTAGTATTTATGATAAAGCTGAGAAGTCGAGCTTCCCTCGAGAAAGTTACAAAAGATCGCTGTATCTAGTCTTGGATCTTTATAAATGACAATATTATACCTAGTGATTGGAGATATAGTTGCAAAGAGTTTGTGCACAAATAATGCACTCTAATTGGCGTTCGATATCACGTTACTGATGAGTGCTTTATCATAATACAACCTTTAGGCAACATATCCAGGTTACCTACTACTGGCAAATGCCAAAGTGCTATAAATACAAAAGTCATTTGCAGTAACATGATATGCTGTCGACTTTAATAATGCCCTAATTGGTTTATGACATAAGTATACAGATTTTGTATTATCATAATTCATAAACAGATATAATAACGAAACACTCGGTGATGAAGAAGAGAAATGTGTACAAGCATTACGCGAGGCTTTATGATGATTTCGAGAGCGAACGATATTTGTACACGTTTGCACGTAACGAGTTATGTCCTAGATTGAGAATGCGCCGCGCTGTGTACGTGATGTTTTATGTCTTTGAATTTTCCATGAAGTAAGCTTTATTGTAATAGTATAAGAGTGCTTGTTGCTTGCCACGCGACAAGCATCAGGGGGCCAATTCTAGAAAATAAATTTTATTTCAATCGAATCGAAAACGGATCGAAACCGAACGAAAGTAGTTTTTAATGGTTTGGCTGGAATTGTATCGTATGTCACTTAGTAGAATAGAAAAACCATTAAAAACTGTAGTTTCGTTCGGTTTCGATCCGTTTTCGATTCGATTTAAACAAAATTTATTTAGTAGAATTGACCCCCTGTTTCTTGTTTCAGACCCCTCGGAGTTTGTGTTCCGCTTAAACGCTGTAACTGCTGCCGGGTTTTTCTATAAGACTACAACATATTTTTATCAATTATTTAAGGGCTTCAAGGGGTCATGAGACGGGACTCATGAGACTTGAAAAGTTGTTAAACATACTGTTTTTATATATCTTTTGTCACAATATACATTTTATTTATGCACTTTATTTTAATACAATGAGGAAGTATTTAAAAAATATATAAGTTCCCGAAATTAAATTAGATGTCGCTACGGCACTTTCTTGTTTCTCCATGACGACCTTTCCGGTTTTCTTATATGTATAAATGTAAATTAGTTTTCAAAAGTCAATAAACAACTCATATTCAATTTGAAATTTTTCATATTTATTTTGATATCTAAGTTTCAAACTTTGCAAATTTCAGTTTTTTAATATGTTAGTTAAAAGGAATGGAAATTACTATCTTTGGTCCACTCGTTTCCTGCAAAAATCAACTTTTGCTAGAGTCGCCATCTAGTGGAGGTGCTTTTTTGGTGCTCTCTTTTTATTTTTAAATACTTCCTTTTCCTCATTGAAGTTGTTGAAGTGATAACGCTTTTCGAGAAAAGTCGTAAAATTAAAATTGTTTTTTTATTCAAATATTAGGTTGATATTTTTAGATACAATATCGACATTATTAAATTATAATTTCTCGTGACTTGAACACGACTATGTGATCCCCCGAAACCAAAGCTGTATCCGTCATTGTGCTATTACTGGGTTAGGTAGGTCGTAAACTATATAATATTATAAAGAAGAAAATTTTGTTGTTTGTTTGCGTTGCATAAGCTTTGCATTAACTACTGTATCGATTTTAACAATTCTTTTACTTATGACAAGCTATATCAGACGCGGATAACAAAGACTATATAGTTTACGTGGGCGAAGAGTATGTGATGAATAATTTTGATATGATTTGAACAGAGAGGAAGACAACGACGACATAATAGAGATCTTTGATAAAACATGTCCCAGGTTGAGGGATTTATATGGCGACTATTACGTCAGTGAGCTCATTGGACGACACCCAGAGAGTCGCAGGAAAATTATAGTTGCCGAGGTATATACCTAGATCTATATTCTTAAAATCGTTAAGAAAGGTCGTATCAAATTGGCACGAAGAAAACAAGCAAAAAATCACGTTTAATGGGAGCACTCTTAAATATTTATTTTATTCTCGTTTTTAGTATATTTTGTTGTTGAAGAGGCGACAGAAATACATAATCTGTGAAAATTCAACAACTTCCATGGTTCATGAGATTATAGCCTGCGATTCTGTAACAATAAACCCGAATTGGAATTCACTCAGTTGTCCGAATTTACCTCAAAAAGCGGTGTCCGATGGTTTTGTGTTTTAATACAAAAATGGAATTTCTTCATTAAAACACGTGAACTTGGACACGTGAGTGAATTCGAATTCGGGTTCGGATTTTTACAGAATTGCTCTGCAGGTGACAGACGAAGTCTAAGTAAATAGGCATACAATAGGGTTCTCGTATCGTCCTTTGGGTACAGAACCCTAAAAATAAAATCGGACTTGGTTTTGTGTAAATTATTATTTTTTTTACTTTGAGATGATTTTTATTTGTCGCGCTTTGCAGTCGGTTTGTTTTTTCAATAATATCCAATTTATTTTTATGACCAAAAATCATAGGAAGGCAAAATATCGTTATCATTTACAATAAATCGCCCACCGCATTACCTTAATAAGTGCGTGCGTTTTTTTTCTAATTTCAGGAAATCTAAAAAAGGTCCGTTGTTTTT